AAAATCTTTAAAAAAAAGAAAGAAAGAAAAGAAAATAGCTGACAAATTTTCAGCTAGCCTCAAGGTAAAAAAAAAAAGAATGAGTACACATAATCAGAAATGAAAAAGATGTTTCCATTGATACCATAGACAAAGGCTCATAAGAGACTACTGTGAACAATTACACCCCGACAAGTTTGACCGTCCAAAAGGAAAGGATAAATTCCAAGAAACACACAACCTTCCAAGAATGAATCATGAAGAGACAAATTCTGAACAGACCAATTACCAGTAGGAAAACAAAATGAGTAATTAAAAACCTCTCAACAGTCAGGAGTCCAGATGGCTTTCCTGGTGAATTCTACCAAATTTTCAAAGAAAAATGAATACCAATCCTTCTCAAACTTTTTCACAAATACAAGAGGAAGGAATGCTTCTCAACTCCTTTTAGGAGGCCAGCATTGCCCTTATCAAACCCTACCAAAATACCACAAGAAAAGAAAATTACAGACCCATATCTGTGATGAACATAGATATAAAAATCCTCAACAAAATAACAGCAAACGAAATTCAACAATACAGGAAGAAGTATGAACAAGTCAGATTTATTTCAGGGATGCAAGGGGGGTTCAACATCCACAAATCAATCAAAGAAATAGGCCACATTAACAAAACAAAGGGTAAAAATCATATGATCTTCACCAATGCAGAAAAAGCATCTGACAAAACCCAACACCCATTTTGATAAAAGCTCTCAACAAAGCAGGTATACAGAGAATGTAACTCAACCTAATAAAGGCCATACCTGAGAAGCCACGTCCTATGCAAGAGTGAAAGCCGAAAGCTTCTCCTCTAAGACCAGGAACAAGACAAGGATGCACACTCTCGCCACTTCTATTCAACATACAGTTGGCCCTTGAACAATGCAGGGATTAGGGTTGCCAACCCCTGTGCAGTTGAAAATCTGAGAATACTTTTGAGTCACCCAAAACTGAACTACTAATATCCTACTGTTGACCACAAAAGTTATCAGGAACACAAAGATTTGATTCAGAGATATTTTGAATGTTATATGTATTATAGACTGTATTCTTACAACAAAGTAAGCTAGAGAAAAAGAGTGTGATTAAGAATATCCTGATGGAGCTTGGGGCTCAGTTATTAAGCGTCTGCCTTTGGCTCAGGTCATGATCCCAGGATCCTGGGATCGAGCCCCGCATTTGATCCAAAGACTGTGGGGAGCCTCCTTCTTCCTTTCCAACTCCCCCTGCTTGTGTTCCCTCCCTTGCTGTGTCTTTCTCTGTCAAAAAATAATAGTGTGGAGGTTCCTCAAAAATTTAAAAATAGAGGTACCCTATGACCCAGCAATTGCACTACTGGGTATTTGCCCCAAAGACACAGATGTAGTGAAAAGAAGGGCCATATGCACCCCAATGTTCATAGCAGCAATGTCCACAATAGCCAAACTGTGGAAAGGGCCGAGATGCCCTTCCACAGATGAATGGATAAAGAAGATGGGGTCCATATATACAATGGAATATTACTCAGCCATCAGAAAGGATGAATACCCACCTTTTACATCAACATGGATGGGACTGGAGAAGATTATGCTAAGTGAAGTAAGTCAAGCAGAGAAAGTCAATCATCACATGGTTTCACTAATTTGTGGAACATAAGGAAAAACATGGAGGACATTAGGAGAAGGAAGGGAAAAATGGGGGGGGGATTGGAGGGAGAGATGAACCATGTAAGACTATGGACATGAGAAACACACAGGGTTTTAGAGGGGGGTGGGGGGGATTGGTTAGCCCAGTGATGGGTATTAAGGAGGGCACGTACTGCATGAAGCACTGGGTGTTATACGAAAACAATGGACCGTGGATCACTACATCAAAAAGTAATGATGTATTGTATGGTGACTAACATAACATAATAAAATTAAAAAAAAAAAAAGAAAAACAAATAAATAAATTCTTTAAAAAAAAAATCCTGATGAAGCTAGAGTGTATTATGCTAAGCAAAATAAGTGAGTCAGAGAAAGACGAATACCATGTGATTTCACTCCTAAGGATTTAAGAAACAAAACAGATCAACAAATGGGAGGGGGAATACAAAGAACAGAGAGGGAAACAAACTGTAAGAAACTCTTGATGCTGGAAAACAGAGATTTGACAGAGGGGAGGTGTTTGGGGGATGGTCTAGCTGGGTGATGGGATTAAGGAGGGCACTGTTATGATGAGTAGTAGGGGTTGTAAGCAAGTCATGAATCACGGAATTCTCCTGAAAGCAATATTGCACTGTATGTTAAGTAAGTAGAATATAAATAATCATTTTAAAAGAAAAAAAAATTCAAAAGGACAATACCTTTACAAGCAATGCCTGTATTTACTGAATAAAAAATGTATTAAGTGGACCACACAATTCAAACCGACGATGGACAACGGTCAATTATACTACTGGAAATCCCAGCCAGAGCAATTACACAAGAAAAATAAAGAAATAAAATACATCCAAATTGGAAAGGAAGAAGTAAAGGTCATTATATTCAGGGGCGCCTTGGTGGCTCAGTTGGTTAAGGGACTGCCTTCGGCTCAGGTCATGATCCTGGAGTCCCGGGATCGAGTCCCGCATCGGGCTCCCTGCTGGGCAGGGAGTCTGCTTCTCCCTCTGACCCTCCTCCCTCTCATGCTCTCTGTCTCTCATTCTCTCTGTCTCAAATAAATAAATAAAATCTTTAAAGAAAAAAAAAAAAAGGTCACTATATTCAAATGACATTTTATATGTAAAAAAACCCTAAAAACAACATGAAAAAAACTATTAAACAGATTCAATAAAGTTGCAGGATAAAAAGTACATAAAAATATGTTCCATTTTTATATACTAATAATGAACAGGAAAATAAATTTAAAAAATAATATTTAAAACTGCATCAAAAAAAAAAAACACAAAAAACACTTAAAGATAAATTTAACCAAGGAGGTGAAAGCCTATATACTGAAAACTGTAAGACACTAAGGAAAGAAACGGAAGACAACACAAGTAAATCGACATTCCATGCTCATGGATTAGAAGAATTAAGTGTTAAAATGTCTATACTACCCAAAACCGTCTAGAGATTGAATGCAATTCTTACCAAAATTCGAAACACGTTTTACAGACATAAGGCAAAGAATCTTTAAAATTTGTATGGAGGGGCGCCTGGGTGGCTCAGTTGGTTAAGCGACTGCCTTCGGCTTAGGTCATGATCCCAGAGTCCCGGGATCGAGTCCCACGTCAGGCTCCCTGCTCAGCAGGGAGTCTGCTTCTCCCTCTGACCCTCCCCCCTCTCATGCTCTCTATCTCATTCTCTCTCTCAAATAAATAAATAAATAAATCCTTAAAAAAAAAAAAAAAGATAAGTATCCAGTACATATAAAGCACTCTTAGACTCAATAACTACAGCAAAAAAACAAAGTGGTTAAAAAGTGGGAGGATTATCCAAATGGACATTATCCAGAGAAGACATCCAGAGAGCCAACAGGGACGTGAAAAGATGCTCAACATCATGAATCATCAGGGAAATGCAAATCAAAACAACAATGGGATAGCACCTCACACTGGTTAGAAAACTTAGTATCAAAAAGATGAGAAATAACACATGTTAGCAAGGATGTGGCCGAAAGGGAACCCCAGTGAGCTGTTGGTGGGAACGTAGGTAGGTGCATCCACTGTGGAAAAGAGTATGCAGGCTCCTCAAAACATTAAAACTAGAACGAGCCTACAATCCAGCAATTTTTCTCCTGGCCATTTAGCCAAAGAAAACAAAAACACCCATTTGAAAAGATATCTGAACCCCCATGTTCACTGCAGCATTATTCATAACAGCTAAGATAGGAGGACAACCTACATGTCCACGGAGGGATGAATCGATAAGGAAGATGTGGTGTATGTAGACGCTGCAATACTCTTTAGCCATAACAAAAAACGAAATCGTTCTTTTTACAGCAACATGGATGGACCCTGAGGGCACGATGCTAACTGAAAGAAGTCAGAGACAAATACTCTATGACAACACTTTTATATGGAATCTAAAAACACCAAAAAACTGAGCTTAAAGATACAGCAGTCAGATTGGTGGTTGACAGGCAGGGGGATGGGTGTGAAATGGGTGACAGGGGTCAAAGGTTCAAACTTACAGGTATAAAGTCAGTCAGTCACAGGATGTAACGTACAACATGGCGGCTATATTTAATAACACTGTATTACAAGCTTCGAAGTTGTAAAGAGAGTGATCTTACAAGTTATCCTAAGGAAAAGGTCTTGTAAAACACTCCAAGACAAAACTGGATTTAAACAGGTAAGCCGTACACCATTGTTCAGGGGACTCAGAAAGTGCAGGGACCTGCCCAAATCTGTGCGGGAAACTGCCCTCCTGTTCCTCACAGAGGCTAAAGGAGAGCTTTGTACACTGGTGAGTGCGTGCACAGAACAGCATGTAAAGTGCTAGGCTCCTCTCTACCCAGAGCACTGGGCACTGCATCCCGCTTAGGGGTACAGGAAGAAGCAGGGAGTTCCTGGGAGATACTGAAAAAGTTGAGGAAGAACAATGCAGGGTGGATGGAAAGTGCCTTACCGGTTTTCCAAATCCCTGGGCATGTTCCATCGTGTAGGTGTCTTTTGAGATGCTACCAAAGGTCGCCGCTGCTGTCTACTCAGGCTCTTGCGGCTGGGCAGCCAACTTCTTTAACTCACTGGCAACCTCTTAGTCATCACTGTCTCTTGACCGTCATTCTAGGGGGAGAGGAACACATAAAAAGGGTCTCATTTCTCTCAGTTGGGATGGTCTGTCAGCTCTTGATCTGAATCACTAACCACCGCCGTTACATCTGTGCCCATAAAGCACTGCGAGTGAATAAAGACTACGATGGTAACAGAAATAGAGAATACTTATCCCTCTGTATTCCTCTGGGTTAGGCCCTATTCTAAGCTGTAAGGTGCAGAGTCAAGCAGAGAGGCATGAGGGTTTCGGATACGCCCCAAACATGGAGAGGTTGGAAGCACAGGTTTTGGAGCTGCAAAGACAAGGGCTTGAAATCTGGTTCCAAGCATTACCTGCGTCTCTAAGACTCAGAGGCCTATCAGGATCCTAGCCCACGGAGATGTGCAAACTGATAAAGGGTGTAGAATGCTTAGCCAGTGCCAGGCACAGAGCAGCTCCTCAATTAACTCACGATGATAATCATGGGGATGGCAATCAAGGTGTTCCTTCCCCAGTGCTAGCAATAACAGTAACTAATACTTCTGTGATATTAATCCCAAAGACTCTTACTGCACTTATCTCGTGCCAGGAACCATGATTTACATTGACTTTGGAAATGGGTTCTGTGTACTACTTCACTAAATCCCCAAAACAAGCCTATATAGGTCCTCTTTGCAGGCCCATCTCTCAGATGAGAATTCTGAGGCCTGGCGATTACCTATCTTGCTCAAGGACACACAGCTGGAAGTGGAATAAGAGGAATGACAACCTGTACTCTGAACCAGTCTAGAGGAAACCCATTACCTACGTTAAATCTGCACCATAACCCTAAGGTTTGGCTGTTCTGCCCACTTTACAGATGGAGAGACTGAAGCTCAGGCCCAGGGCAGAGGCCGAACTCACCTGGCCTCCCCAATGGGAGGAAGCAGGACTTGGCACTCCGTCTCAGGCTTGGCCACTGGGTCTGTGTGGCCCCCTGTGTCCCCTGCAGATACCAGGCTGAGGGGCACCTCTTCCTCGGAACCGCAGCATGCTAGGGTTCCAAGGACGCCGATGCCCCCGGCTCCCTCTGCTCCCAGCCATACCGCCACTGCCCCCAGCTACCGCCACTGCCCCCAGCTACCGCCACTGACACCCGCTGCCCATCACAGACGATGCTTCTGACCGCCGACGCGGCTGGCCCACGCTGCCGCCCTCTGCCGCCTGCTGCTTGCTGGCACTGACTGCCCAGCGCTGACCCTGCCCCTACCGCCACCGGGCCGCTGCCCCCGCCAGTTGCTGCCAATTATCGCTGCCTACCGCCCCAGCCACCTACCTGCCGCTGCCGCCTGCCACCCTTGCCTGCATCCCCTTGCCTCCGCCTGCCTGCCCCTTTCCCCTGCCGCTGCCTGCTACCTCCTTCCACCGCCCGCCGCCCTTGCCTGCCTGCCGCGGCCGCCTGCCTGCGTGCCGTTGCTTACCACAGCCTGCCACCGCTTCCTGCCGCCGCCTGCAATCGCCTACCGCCGCCGCCCACCACACTTGACTGCCGCTACCTGCCTCCCTGCCCCCACCGCTTACTGCCGCCCCCTGCCTCCACTGCCTCCACCGCCCCCCGCTGCCACATACTGACCCCACTAACCCGGCAACTACCGCTGCCGCCGCCCGCTGCTGATACTCCCACTGCTGCCTCTGCTGCCCGGAGCTTCCTCTGCTGCCCAACGTGGAAGCTGACTGGCGCCAGCAATACTGCTAACGCCGCTGACGCCGCTGACGCCGCTGACGCCGCTGACGCCGCTGACGCCGCTGACGCCGCTGACGCCGCTGACGCCGCTGACGCCGCCGCGTAACCCGACTCTACCCGCCGGCGCTTCCGGCGCCCCTCCCCACGCTGACCGTCGCTGCCGCCGCTGACCCGCCTGCTGCTGACCCCGCCCCTATCGCGGCGCCTGCTTCCCGCGCCGGTGACTCCGGCTGAAGCCAATGGCACCTGCTGTTGAGGCTGCCACACACCGCCACCCGATGACCCGGGGCTGCCCAAAGCTGGCGCCCCTGCAGCCCTTGCCGCCCCTGCAGCCGCTGCAGCCGCAGACGCCCCCCGCTAGTGCTGTCACCGCTGCAACCTCTGCTGCTGCCCGCTGCCGCCTGCCACCGACTGCCACCGCCTGCCTGCCGCTGCCTGCAGCCACTGCCCACCAATGCTGCCACCGCCGCCTGCCACTGCCTGCCTGCTGCCGCCACCAGTCAGTACTACCACTGCCGTCTGCCACTGCCGCCCCCTGCTGCCGCTTACCTCTGCCTGCCGCCGCCACCTGCCTTCTGCCACCCACCGCCCTTGCCTGCGCCTGCAGCCTGCTGCCCGCCGGCATCCATGACCGCCTGCCTGCCGCCGCCGCCGTCTGCTGCCACAGCCTGGCTCCACCGGGCCCAGCTACCTAACCCCGAGAATGCATGCCAACGCTGCCTGCCTACCCCCACCGCTGCCGGCACCACCGGCCTACCGCTGCCACCTCCCTAATGCTGCTCTCTGCCACCTGCCTGTCCCCGCCGCCTGCCTGCTGCCGCCGCCTGCTATATCCTTGCACCACCCGCGGCCCTTACCTGCCGTGGCCTGCCTGCCAGCCACTGCTTACTGTAGCCTGAACCTGCTACCTTTTACCTGCCGCCACTGCCTGCCTACCGCTGGCGCCTGCAGCCCGCTGCCCCCACTGCCTGCCTCCGCTGCAGCCTGCCTCCTCCTGCCACCTTCCCGCGCCACCTGCCTCCGCTGTCTGCCACCGCTTCCTGCCACTGCCGCCTGACACCGCTGCCGGTTGCCCGCCACGGCCCGCTGCCGCTTCCTTACCACCGCCGCCTGCTGCCGCTTACCACTGCCCGCCACCGCAGTCCGCCACCAACGCATGCCTACTACTGCCGCCTCCCAACAGTTGCAATTCCCGCCTTCCTAACACTGCTGCCTGCGGCCACCACCTGTCCCCGCCAACCGCCTGCCACTGCTTCCTGCCACCACCGCCTGTTGCCATCTGCGGCTACTGCCACCAGCCTCTGCTGCCTAACCTCGACGATGGTTGCCAACGTTGCCTGCCTACCGCCGCCACCTGCTGCCGCTGCCCCCTGCAGCCCGCTTGGCCCCACCGCCAGCCGCTGCCACCTGCCGCCGCTGCTGTCTGCTGCCCTCACTGCCTGCCCCCGCTGCGGCCCGCATCCCCCTGACACCTGCCCCTGCCGCCGCTTTCTGCCACCGCTTACGGCCGGCTGCGACTGTTAGCCGCCGCTTCCTGCCTGGCCCCTGCTGCCTGCAGCCCGCCACGGCCTGCAGCATCGCCGCCTACCCCCGCCTACTGCCACTTACCACTACCCGCCACGGCAGCCCCCCGCCAGCACATGCCTACCGCTGCCGCCTACCTAACGCTGCTGCCTGGACCTGCGCCTGCCGCCGCTTACCACTGCCTGCCCCCGTCTGCCACCTCTTGCCGCCGCCGCCCCCTGCCTGCCCATAGCCGGGGCCTGCCGGCCGCCACTACCTGACCCCACCACTGCCCGCCGCCACTTCCTGCCGCCACTGCCTGTTGCCACCTGCGGCTACTGCGTACCCCCAGTGCTGCAGCATGCCTGCAACTGTCTGCCAGCTGCCTGCCGCAGCCTGCCTGCCCCCGCCCACTGCCGCCGCCGCCGCCTGCTACCTCCTTCCACCGCCCGCGGCCCTGGCCTGCCTGCCGCCGCCGCCTGCCTGCCTGCCGCTTCTTACCCAAGCCCGCCACCGCTTCCTGCCGCCGCCTGCAATCACCTACCGCCGCCGCCCACCACACTTGCCTGCCGCTACCTGCCTCCCTGCCCCCACCGCTTACTGCCGCCCCCTGCCTCCCCTGCCTCCACCGCCTCCCGCTGCCACATACTGACCCCCACTAACCCGGGACCTACCGCTGCCGCCGCTCGCTGCTGATACTCCTGCTGCTGCCTCTGCTGCCCAGAGCGTCCGCTGCTACCCAACGCTGAAGCCGACTGACGCCAGCACTACTCCTGACGCCGCGAACGCCGCGGACGCCGCTAACGCCGGGGACGCCGCCGCGTAACCCGCAGATGCCCGCCGGCGCTTCCGGAGCCCCTCCCCACACTGACCCACGCTGCCAACGCTGACCCGCCTGCTGCTGACCCCGCCCCTATCGCGGCGCCTGCTTCCCCCGCCCGTGACTCCGGCTGAAGCCAATGCCACCTGCTGCTGAGGCTGCCACACACCGCCACCCAATGACCCGGGGCTGCCCAAAGCTGGCGCCCCTGCAGCCCTTGCCGCCCCTGTAGCCACTGCAGGCGAGGACGCCACCCGCTGGTGCTGTCACCACTGCCACCTCTGCTGCTGCCCGCTGCCACCTGTCACCGACTTCCACCACCTGCCTGCCGCTGCCTGCCACCGCCTCCTGCCACCGCATGCCTGCTGCCGCCACCAGTCAGTACTACCACTGCCGCCCCCTGCTGCCACTTACCTCTGCCTGCCGCCGCCACCTGCCTTCTGCAACCCACCGCCCTTGCCTGCGCCCGCCGCCTGCTGCCCGCCGCATCCGTGGCCGCCTGCCTGCCACCGCCGTCTGCTGCCGCAGCCTGGTTCCACCGGGCCCAGCTACCTAACCCCGAGAATGCATGCCAAAGCTGCCTGCCTAACCCCACCGCTGACAGCACCGCCGGCCTAACGCTGCCACCTGCCAATCGCCACAGCTGCCGCCTGCCTAATGCTGATGTCTGCCACCTGCCTGCTGCCACCACCTGCTATATCCTTGCACCACCCGCGGCCCTTACCTGCCGTGGCCTGCCTGCCAGCCGCTGCTTACTGCAGCCTGCACCTGCTACCTCTTATCTGCCGCCACTGCCTGCCTACCGCTGGCGCCTGCAGCCCGCTGCCCCCACTGCCTGCCTCCGCTGCAGCCTGCCTCCTCCTGCCACCTTCCCGCGCCACCTGCCTCTGCTGTCTGTCACCGCTTCCTGCCACTGCCTCCTGACACCGCTGCCGCTGCTTCCTGTTGCCGCCTGCCTGCCGCTTGCCGGGGCTTGCCTGCCTGCCGCCCCAGCTGCCTGCGTCCCACCGCTTCCTGCCGCCGACGCCTGCTACCTCCTCGCACCGCCCGCCTCCCTTGCTTGTGGCTGCCTGACTGCCAGCCACTGCTTACCACAGCCTGCCCGCGCTGCTGCCTGCTGCCACTGTCGCCTGCCCTGCCGCCTGCCTTCACTTCCTGCCGCCGCTTCCTGTCACCACCTGCCGCCGCCGCTGCCCCCTGCCCCGCCGCTTGCCTTCGCTTCCTGCCGCCGCTTCCTGTCACCGCCTTTCGCCGCCAATGCCGCCTGCCCCGCCGCCTGCCTTCGCTTCCTGCCGCCGCTTCCTGTCACCACCTGCCGGCCCGCTGCCACTGCCGCCTGCCTTCGCTTCCTGCCGACGCTTCCTGCCACCTCCTGCTGCCAAGGTGCCTGCCCCGCCGCCTGCCTTCACTGTGTCACTTTACCAGCACCGCGTGGACAAACCACATGGGACACATTGACTGTTTTCATAGCTCCCCCTCTTCCTGATGCAATGGCCACATTTAGATGGAAAATACTACTTCAATACGTGAAAGAAGAACCATCAAGGGCAGCATTCTAGCAAGTGATTTAAGAGAAGGGGGAAAGGACTAGGCCACTCTTCTCTCCCCTTCTCTCTGGGAGGACTGGTGTGATCTTGGGAATTTGCTAGAACAGCTCAGGGAACTCCTGGAAAGAACAGCTGCATCTTCTGTCGATCAGCACTCACATCTGGGACTGCCTAGAGTTGGAGAAGGCCCAGTTCTCCAGGTGAGCACCTGTTTGCACCATTCGCCATGTCACCACCTGAACAGGCTGGTGTCAACGTCCTCACATTTAAAAGAAGGATGAGCATCATGACACCAACTTCATAAAGCTGTCATGAGACCTGAATGCCCCCACAAAACTCTTAACACAGACGCTGGCATATTGTGTGTGCTCAAGAGATACTAACTCTTATGATCATTACTAATAACATATTAAAGTTTTCCACGACTAGAACCTTCCACAGATCTTGTTTTTTTTCCGGAATCGGTCATGGGTATTATATTTGACCAAAGATATACATTTAGGAGATAGTTTCCAAGGGGTGAAGATGCATTGTGTCCATAAAACAGTTTTCTGCTGGAGCCCACATAGCCTTGCCTGCTTCAAATGCAGTGGGTAGCTCATGTCTGCTCTAGAGATTAGAAACACTACATGGGGAGCTTAAGGACCCCATGGTTCTGATTGTGTGACCTCCTGGAACAGAATGTCATTCAACCTACTAAACCTCAGATTCCTCAACATCGCAATACACTTTACCGGATAATCTTAGAGATCCTCTCCAGGCAAAAATTCCAGTTCAACAGTTTTATAACCCAAGCTTTGGAGAATTTGTCTGCCATGTTTGCTCCTCTATTCCCAATCCCTGCCACAGAGAAGACACTAAATAAGCATTTGTAGAGTAAAAACATGGATAAATAAAAAAGATCCACTTGAAAAAATAAATCCAATTGATCCTTTTCCTCTTGAAGAAAAAAAAAAAAATTCATTAATTAGATACTTCCAAAATTTAATATTTCTGTCTATTTTGTTGTGCTGCCCATGTATTAACTGTGTAAAGCAATAATAATGCCTTCTTTTTTTTAATTTATTTTTTTATTCTTATGTTAATCCCCATACATTACATCGTTAGTTTTAGATGAAGTGTTCCATGATTCATTGTTTGTGCATAACACTCAGTGCTCCATGCAGAATGTGCCCTCCTCAATACCCACCACCAGGCTAACCCATCCTCCCACCCCCTCCCCTCTAGAACCCTCAGTTTGTTTTTCAGAGTCCATTGTCTCTCATGGTTCGTCTACCCCTCCGATTTCCCCCGCTTTATTCTTCCCCTCCCGCTACCTTCTTCTTTTTTTTTTTTCTTAACATATATTGCATTTGTTTCAGAGGTACAGATCTGAGACTCAACAGTCTTGCACAATTCACAGAGCTTACCAGAGCACATACTCTCCCCAGTGTCTATCACCCAGTCACCCCATCCCTCCCAACCCACCCCCCACTCGAACAACACTCAGTTTGTTTCCTGCGATTAAGAATTCCTCATATCAGTGAGATCATAGGATACATGTCTTTCTCTGTTTGACTTATTTCACTCAACATAGTACCCTCCAGTTGCATCCACGTCGTTGCAAATGGCAAGATCTCATTCCTTTTGATGGCTGCATAATATTCCATTGTATATATATACCACCTCTTCTTTATCCATTCATCTGTCGATGGACATCTTGGCTCTTTCCACAGTTTGGCTATTGTGGACATTGCTGCTATAAACATCGGGGTGCATGTACCCCTTCGGAACCCTACCTTTGTATCTTTGGGGTAAATACCCAGTAGTGTAATTGCTGGATCATAGGGTAGCTCTATTTTCAACTTTTTGACGAACCTCCATACAGTTTTCCAGAGTGATAATGCCTTCTTTTTTTAAAATTTAAATTCAATTAGCCAACATATAGTACATCATTAGTTTTTCGTGTAGTGTTCAATGACTCATTAGTTGCATATAACACCCAATGCATATCACAACACGTGCCCTCCTTAAAAATCCCATCACCCAATTACCCCATCCCCCCACCCACCTCCCTTTCCACAACCCTCAGTTTTTTTCCTGGAGTCAAGAGTCTCTCACGGTTTGTCTCCTTCTCTGATCTTTCCTCCCTTCCCCTATGATCCTCTGCATTGTTCCTTATATTCCACTGCCTTCTTGGGCTTACAGTGAATACAATAAAATATAGTTCAGCAATGATATGTAGATTGTGGGAGTAGTAAATGAAGTTAAAGTATTCTAGTGTCCTCATATTTTCTGGGAAAAGATCAGAGGCTCTAATTTATATTTGTCTGTAGTAAGTCAAAGGCATACTTTTTACCTTTGATTGCAGTTACTAAAAGAATAGTAAGTGAATGTATTACTTCTGTAGTGCATTGAATGGTGGCCCGCAAAATGATATGTCAACATCTTAACTCCTGGAGCCTGTGAATGTGATCATATTTAGATATAGAGTACACAGATGTAATTAAGTTAAGGATATTGAGAGATCATTGTAGATTGCCCAGGTGCACACTAAATCCAATGATAGGTGTCCTTCTAACAAACAGAAGAAGATGGACGCACAAAAGGGAACACTATGGGACAGCAGAGTCAGAGATTAGAGTGACAATGTCACAAGCCAAAGAATGAGAACAGACACCAGAACTGAAGAGGCAAAGAAGGATTCCCTCCTAGAATGGCTGGAGGGAGCATGGCCCTGCTGACTCCTTGACTTCATGCTCTTGGCCTCCAGAACTGTGTTCAAGCCACCGTGTTTGTAATAATTGATTATAGCAGCCATAGGAAATTGAGAAGTCTTTTATTTTAATTTTTTTCTCTTTCATTATTCAACCAATTTCTTACTTTATCAACTTTTTTTAACATCTTTTTTTTCATTTTTACACTTACATTTTATCCTTTCATTGTATTTAATTTTATTTTTGTATATATATAAGTTTTTCTTTCTTTACAATTTTGGGATGCAGTTTCTTCTAACAAATAGACCAAAATACACCCAGAATTTAGCATATGGTTCTCTTCTCTTCACCTATCTGATCGTATTCTCTCTTTTTTGTCTTTGTTTTGTTTTGTTTTCTTAAAGTCATTTTTGTACTTTCATCTTTACACTTACATTCTATCCTTTCAATGTATTTAATGTTATTTTTGTATATATATGTTATTCTTTCTTTATAATTTTGAGATGTAGTTTCTTCAAACAAACTGAACAAAATACGCTCAGGATATAATGTATAGCTCTGTTCTGTTCACCTGTTTATATTCCTGTCTTCTTTTTTTCATTTTTTTCTTTTTTAATTTTCATGTCTACAGTTACATTCTATTCTTTCACTGTATTTTATTTTATTATTGTACACACATAAGTTTTTCTTACTTTACAATTTTGGGATCTAGTTTTCTAACAAACAGACCAAAATACACACAGGATCCAGTGTATTGCTCTATTCTGTTCACGTCTGGTTATATTCTCCTTTTGATTCTTTAATTTCAATTTTTTTTTTTTTTAGTTTAAGATCTCTCCTGATTTGTTTAGTGTATATTTCTCTGGGGTCATTGCTGTCATTGTGGTATTTTGTTCTTTCATTCATCTATTCTTCCTGGACAAAATGGTCTAAGACAGAAAAACTCACCTCAACAAAAGAGAACAAGAGGCAGTACTGACTTCCAAGGACCTAATCAGTATGGAGGTAAGTAAGATGTCAGAACTAGAGTTCAGAATAATGATTATAAAGATAATAGATGGGCTTGAAAAAAGCATAGAAGACACTACAGAATCTCTTTCTGGAGAAATGAAAGAACTAAAATCTGCGCGTGTTGAAATCAAAAAGGCTATTAATGTGATGCAATTAAAAATGGAGGGAGATCCCTGGGACATTTGCAGACAGGACCAGGAGTCCCTGAAGCCAAGGGAAACTTCAGATCAGGAGAACGGGCCTCGCCCGGGAAGGAGGCCTGAACACTTTGCCCTGATTGTCTTGTGCGCACGGACGGACGTGACCTGGCCCTGCCTTGAGCCCCTAGGTTTGCTGTAGTGCCAGGTGGGCCTGAGTGGCTGGGCTCCGGGCCGGGATCAGCCCTTCCCACCTCCCCCAGGGCTTGTGTGATTGAGACAACTTTCTACTTCATGGCAAAGTCAGGGGCAACTGTTTTCTGGAACCTGGCTGGCCTCCCCTCCCCCAGCCCAACTGCTCTGCCCTGGTTGCCGGGCACCGTTGACCTCATAGGTGGAACTCTCCACAGGATTCTCAGTGGTCCGTTGTGGCCACAGGACTCTGGCACTTGGAGACAGAGCTGTGGAGCCTGACGCAGCCATGGAGGGCGCCCTCTTGGCCACCAGATCCACTTGCCAGCTGGTGTTGGAGCACCTGTGGGGGGCGCTGCAGCTGATTTCTGAAAGCTGGGGACACACCCCGAGTCTCCCCGTGTTGCCCTGTGCGGTGCTCATATGGACTGTGCTGCTGGTTCTCCTAGTGAAGAGACAACTCACTCGAAGAAGCGCGAAGGCACTGGGCCACAGGGGCTCTGCCCGCCACGAAGTGTGTGGAGCCCGCCGTGAGGAGAGTGGCCCAACCACACAAGCCGAGGCCGCCCTCAGGCCGCCCGCGGTGGTGGCCAGTCCTCCCTTGTTACAAGCCCTGTGCTTGTCGGCAATGAACACAGAACTGAGCAGGCTGGTGGATAGGGACACTGTCAACTTTTTGAGGAAGGTACTGAAGGAACTGGACCAGCCTCCCGACCTGCCCCAGGTCCCTAGGGAAAAACCCATCCTCAGAACATCGGAGAAGGATGGAAAACAGCTTCTGACGAAAAGAACGAAGGATC